GTAATTATGAAAGGGGAGACGGCGAGCAGCGCCAGAGGCGAATATAAACTCAATGTGGGCAAAGTGTCTTCTTCCCCAAATAATTGAACCACTCCCCTTACTCCATCCCCACCCCCCTTCCTCCATGGATTTCAAACTCATCTTCTCCTTCATCAACTCTCTCTGAATCCAGCAACTGCCCTCTCGCAATCTCCACCCGGAAGCCGCGGACGCCTCGGAAACGGCCGAACCAGACTTACAACGAGGCGGCGGCGATTCTCTCCACGGCTTACCCTAAGATTTTCCCAACCAAAGCAAACCCCTGCAAATTCACCAAATCGCATGGCGGTAATGAAAAGAATCCGTTTTTATTCGAGACGTCGGACTTGCTTATGCCGTTTCGGGTTATGGACGACGGTTCGGAGTATTTGCTGCATCCGCCGCCGCCGAAGGGGTTTAATTTGGTGGAGAAGGTGTGCCGGAGTCCTGGGGAGATCAATTCGCAGGGGAATTCCACCTCTGAAATATGGAGATCTTCTCCGACGTTGCCCAGCGACCGCCGCCGCCGCTGCTGCCGCCGCCGCCGCTGCCGCCGCTGCCGCCGCCGCGAGTTCAGATCTTCTCTAAAGTCGTCGCCAATCGAGGTCCGGCGAGCTACACTTCGCCGAATTCTCCGACGAATAGCAAAGCCCATCGCAAAATCCTCTCAAACACAGCTGCCGTTGCAGCCGCCGTTGAGCTATGAGCTGAGAAATTGAAATTGAAGTGTGCGTTGTTTTTTTTTTTTTCAATTGGAGAAGAGGGCTAAATTGGAAGTGCTAGGGACTGAATTGAAAATTTTGAAAATTTCATTTGAGTCATAAAATTCTAGAGGTTGGATATATTTATCTGAAGGGCATTTTTGTCATTTCGCGTAAGTCAACGAGTCAGTGCACACAAAGGGGCGGTGGGCTGACTAAAACACAACATAGGGATATGCTAATTTTTTTTTCCAGGGGGGTTTTTTGCTTCCGAGAAATAACACAGGGGGGTCTATGCAATTAACTCCATGTTTAGCAGAATTGTACTTTTGCCCCCTATTTTAAGTTATCTGATCTTACTCTACCTTATTAGAGGGTATCTTGTCTTCGTACGTTCAGTCAATGCCTAAGATTATTGTGGGTGCACTGAGCTATTTAAATTTTTACACAAGCCGGTTTTTGCTATTTGTTTTTAGGGTAAATACAAAAATACCCATATACTATGGACTTTGTATCATATACCCCATGTACTACCCATAAATACAAAAACCTCTCTGCTGTTATATTTTTCCCAAAATATGACGAAAATACCCCTGTTAAGCCTGCAAATATAAGGGTTTATTTGAGTCATTTTCCACTATATTTTTTTAACACTTTCGGTCAATTTTACTTGGTAAATTTTGATATTTTTATTTTTTTCTTCAAAACATTTAATTACTTAGTTTTTTTTTTCTGAATAAAACCTTTTATTTTTGTCATTTTGAATTTCTTCATTTTCTTTCTTAAATGTCTTCCGATAGTTCAAATTCTCAACAATAATATGATTAAATTGTAAACATGTTTGTAATATTAGGATGTTTGAACTACGGGGAGACATTTAAGAAAAAAAAAATGAAGAAACTCAAAATGACAAAAATAAAAGGTTTTATTCAGAAAATTAAAAAAATATAAGCAATTAAATATTTTGAAGAAAAAAATATAAATACCAAAATTTTCCACGTAAAATTCACTAAAAAATGTAAAATATACATTGGAAAATGACTCAAACTATATATATATATATATATATATATATATATATATATATATATATATATATATGCTTGAGTAGGGGTATTGTCGTCATATTTTGGAAAAAATGTAATGTGAGGGAGGTTTTTGTATTTATGGATAGTACAGGGGATATATGATACAAAATCTATAGTACAGGGGTGTTTTTGTATTTAACCCTTGTTTTTATTATAGGGGGTTTTTGGCAGATATGAATTACACATGAGTACTTTTTGTATATTACTCATAAAAAAAGCTTTTAAATACATTTTATAAAATGAAATCATGTAACTCATTAAGATACATTGACGAAAAAGCATAATACACAATTAAAGATTGAGAAAGACAAACATTATTACATATAAAAAGGAGAGAAATAGATGCAGAAATTTGATAAAAACAAATAAAATGTCTATTTGACACGTCTGCAAAGGGTGAGCCCATCTCCGATAGAAAGTTGAGCGAGTTCAATACGAGAATCAGCAGCTAAGAAAGTGTTCAATTGCATAATGTCGATTCTAACCCTCCTCAGGTATTCCTCCATCTCATCGTCATCGGACGCTGCTACAGTTCCCGACCACAATGTGTTGTCGTAGGCAATTATTCCCCCAACCCTAACCAGTTTCAATAGCTGTTCGTGGTAGTGGATATAGTTCTGCTTGTCCGCATCCACAAATGCAAAATCAAATGTTCCTTCTTCACCCTAAAAAATAAAAATTAAAAAAAAATTAATACGGCAATTAAACAATTAATCCTCATAAATGTACTTGTAAATAAAATAATTAGGTAGGAGAAGAAAATAATTACATTGGCCTTGAGCTGTTCCATAACTTTGAAGGCATCAGATTGAATGAACTTAATCTTGTGTGCCATGTTTGCCTTTTGAATAAATGGCAATCCAGTCTCGTATGCTTCTCTGTCCGGGTCAATTGCGATTATCTACACAAAACAAACCAAAAATAATTTATAATTTTTATTTTATTATTATGTTTTGGGTTAACTACGGCAACCTCTGAGGTAATGTCAAATCACGAGAAAAATCCGTTCATATTTGGGTAATTAAAATCACCTTCTCAATTATGTGTTTTCTTACGGATAAACCCCTTCTTAAGTAGGTAAGTAAGACAATACATAGTTGAGGAGTGGTTGTAATTACTCAAACATGAGGATTTTTTTTGTAATTTGATCTTATCTTACGGGGTGGTCGCGTAATTATCCTAATTAAAAAAAATATAATAATTTACTTACCTTGCCATCATTAGGAAGGGCAAGAGCAGTAGTGAGGAGAGAGTAGCCAGTGAAAACTCCAACCTCAATTGTTTTCTTTGCATTCATCATTTTCAAGAATAGTGATATGAATTGGCCCTCGTCAGCAGTTACATTCATCATACTCCTGTAATTATAATAATAATAATAAATTAAATATAATAATTAATAATAAGAAAAAATAAATAAAAATAGAAGATTCGAAAAATTGTATATTTTCGTACCACCACTGATACTTGTCGACGGTAGCCATTCGTAGTTCTTTGAGTTGCTCATGCTCTCTCGGGTAAGCACTTGTTTCCAGAATATACTGCAATCCAAATAATATTAATACTATTGAAACAAAATAAAATATAGACTATCTAGTGAGATATTTTTAAAAGAAAATAAAAGTCGGACAAAGAAATTTAAGTACCTGGGCGAGTGCATCACTTTGCAGAATAGTCCCTGTAAACTTATCTTTCATTTTCGAGAAAATTGAGAGCAAAAAAGAAACAATTTAGTTTGATGAACCAAGTGATGATGAAATGTTTTGTTTGAAACTTTGGAAAGTGTTAGCTCCAATTTATAAGGCTAATACATTTTGGAGAGTCAACGCTTTGAACGCCTCAATTGACCCAATCAATCAATTTGATTCCATCCCCCACTCTCAAACAACCCCTCTCAATCATATGTATTTATCATTATTTTATTTTAAATATAAATATAAAAAATATATGTTTAGTATATTTTTTTTTTGTTTTTGGTATTCGTTGGTTAGTCGTGCAAATTGAAATCGTCCATCGATTAATAGGAATTAATTAATTAATTTAATTTAATTTAATTCATTGGTTAGTAAATGAAAATGCATCATGGGGCAAAAAGAGCTGTCACAAAATTAACTACTCAAATAACCTATCATGAATTGACATGTGTCCATTTTAAATATATTTATTCTTATATTAAAATTTGATAACCTATTTAGTAACTGTGGTTGGTGTAAATGGGTATCAAAATAATAAAACTAGATTCAAATTAATATTTAATGATTTATTTTAATGCTTTGCCGTTAGACTAGTACCTTCAATTTATTTTATGAGAGTTCGATGATGATATAAGACAAATAAATAATATAAATTACGGTGCACATCTTCAAATGTGATACAACTTAAAAAATATGTAAAACAAAAAAGAATTAATTTTTTTTTTTCAGATGTTTGTTGCAGAATAATTTGAGTTTGAATATATACAAAAAAATGCTTTCAAAAACACAATATATACACAAAAATGTAAATTTTGTGTTTTGGTGGAATAAGGTTATATTGGAAGGTGATTCAAGCATAATTGTAGTTGCTATTGAGGGAGAGATATGGGTGTGCAATCGAAATATGGGAACATCATTGACGACATTAAGAGATTAGCAATATGTTTTGAATCTTTCTAAGTCTGTCACGCCAAGAGAGAAGGCAATCGTGCAGCTCATCTAGACATTCATCCAAAGAGAATTTTAATTCCACGGTGTTACCAAAATTTATTCTTGAAGTTGTAGATACTGATTCGTTACCGTAATGAAATTTGCAAGTTTTTTGCTCTAAAAAAAACTGAATTAATTCTAGAGCACCCCTAAGCAATCGAATATTTTTTTTTTGATTATGTTTGTTTTATTTATTTCCTCTACTAAGTTTTAAAATCTTATTTCAATGAAACGATTGTCGCTTTCTTTGTTATTTCATTTTTTTCTTGTTAATGACATATGTGTAAATTTGTTAATTAATTTTGCTTTAGTAATTACATCATTTATTTAACTATCAATTTCATATTATGATATTTAATTTTATATAATCTTTTGTCGAGTGAGTTTGTATTATTAAAATTGTATATAACTGTTGATGTTGTTACCGATAAATTTTATTAGAATATTGTAATATAGTTTTATTATATTTGTTATTGTCATGTATTATATGAATTATTTTTGAAATGCTATCAAATGCATCGAACGGAAAAAATACTAGTTAGAAATAAATTCTATTTATTCCTTGCAATGGAGAAGAAAAATATGGTTCAATCATATTTTAGGAGGTTATTCATAACGTACCCGTAAGGGATGACCTAGCAGTTGGAGCAAGTGAGTCTGCATCAATTGATCAAATTCAAATCTCATAATCAACGGTTGCTAAGTAGAACTTGTCAGACATTGTTAGCCTAGTGTAATTTATATATATCGTATAGTTTGCAAGATATTATACAAGACAATAAATTTATCCCAATATCTATATAATTAATTGCAGATTTCTTCATTATTAAAAAAAAATTGCTCCAACTTTCACCTATACCAAATTAAACTACTTAGTAAGATGTCACATGATGTATGAAAATAAAAAAGGCAAGAACTCGTCGGATATCTGACAAATAAAAGGAATAATGCGAATTATTCAAAAAAATAATTTGTTCAAAGTTTGGGGCTTGAAAAAGTTGGTGCAAAGTCAACATGTTTTTATTGGTGAAAAAGTCAAAGTCTGTCTCGTTTCCATTCTCTTTTTTTCTGTTGACAAGTTCAAACTTTTATTGGAAATTAATCAAATTATTATAATAGAGTTGGTCCAACAATAGTACTATGCCTATGTTTTATATGTAGGTACTGATTTGCTTTTTTTTTTTAATGAAGGAATCTGTAGTAAACTATATAGCTGCATCGGATAAACTTACATTCTTGTTAATAGCTTGTAAATTGTACGAGAGATGTAAATCACACTAGGCTGATCATGTGTGAGCATGTATCAATTGACCCACGTTTGAATTCCCTTGTCAACGGCGCTTAGTTGAGATTGTCACACATGATTAGTCTAGTGTGTTTTATATATCTCGTATGATTTGCTAGCTATTATATGAGAGTGTAGATTTTAACCTAATGCACCTGTATGGTTGCAGGTTCCTTATTACCAGAAAAATAAAATAATGCGAGACTGATTTTCAACTAAGAGGGTGTTTGGCTAAGCTTATTTTAAACAGGTGATAAACTCATACGTCTGATAAGATGTTTTAAAAGCTGATAATCTGTTACATCTTATTTTTAGGATTAATTTTTAGAGTGTTTGGATAATGAATTTATTTCCTTTTTCTTACTCATTATAAGATCTTAAATAAAAATGTGGGGTAGATATATTTTTTTTTTAAAATCTTATTTTCTCCAACAACTTATTTAGAAAAAAAATAAGATTTTTTTTAAAAAAATACGTAACACTTTGGAAGAGCTTATAAGCTCTAAAACATCTTATAAGCTTCTTTTAACATCTTATAAGCTTAGCCAAACACCCTCTTAGTAAACAGTAATTATAGTATTATCTTCACCGCAAATTGAAATCTTTTTTCTTTCTCTTAGAAAGCTTCTAATTTATTGATACTATAATTAATTAATTACTGATTATGACTTTTTTAACTTTTCATTTATTAATTAAAACATATTTTATTAGAGGACAAAAAATGAGGTTTTTTATTAAAAAAAAAAGAAACTTGCACCCACATACGTGCACTAATCTTCATTTCGTGCAATAGTTTGTCTGCACTCTACCGAACAATTGCCAACTTCCTTCCTCGCCGAATCTAATGGGTGATACCTGAATTTATTTTGAATAAATAATTTCCAATCTAACTATTTTTAAATACAGATTCCGAATTGTCACTAAATTTATTGGCCAAATTACATTTTTTTAGTTTTCACAAAGCAAGTAAAGATCATTACACGATAAGGACCTCCTTAAGTCAGTGACTCTTGTTTAATGTTGACTCCTCCCTAGATCACTATTTAGGTCTTGTTTGGTTGTAATATCAACCATAATTAACTAGATAATTAAATTTTGTTTGATGTTTGGTATCCCAAATAAGTTTACGGGTCGACCTGTAAATATTATTTTATCATGCATGCATTATCCTGTCTTTTAGACATGTTTTTAATTGGATCATCGAAGGTCCAATAATATAATTGAGTTTTTTCAGACTGTTTATCTTGACTAATCTTATCTTGACCACCAAACGACGTCATAATATTCATATGACATGAGAATCCCTCCATAGTGTCTAAACCATATCGTCTTTATCTGCCAGAATTACGAGAACGTGTCTGGGATTAGTCAAACTTACCACTGGCTCGTTAATCACTAAGTTTCCACAGTGCCATGATGGCAGTTTTCATATCATGTATACTTGGATGACCGTAGAAAATTTCAATATTAAAGCGTTATCGAATTGCTACTAGTCTGATCAATTTCCAACATGGAGTACATATGTCACTAGTAGAAAAATATTTTTTTACCTTCTACCAATTTTTTTGCTACGGTAAAAAACTACCAATTTTTTTGCTACGGTAAAAAACTGTAACAAAAAGGTATCTTTTACTGCGGGACAATCTTGGAATCGTAGTAAATATTATGATTTATTGTAGCAAAGTTTTTGTCATGCCCGTTATGCGACTAGGCAAAATCTTAGCAAATGCGTGGCAAAAATATTTTTACTGGTACCTTTTGCTACGGTTAATGGTCGTATTAAAAAAGTATTTTCTACTAGCGTATGTTGGTTCGTTAATGCTAATTTGATATAGGTTGGAGGCTTGGAAGCAAAATAAATACTGATGGGCTGGAACAATGTAAGAGGAGGCGAAGAATTGACAAGAGTCATCACTTGCACAAACGAACGACGAGGACAAATGGGAGGTTGAACGTTGACCCCAGATTTAAATAAATATATCATATTAACCCCCATTTTCATAATTTGATTTTTTTTTTTGAGAAAATATATTTTTTTCTGAAATTATTTTTTCCAGCCAGATTCCGGGTTAACCTTTTTTTTTTAAGAATTTTTTTTTCTGAAATTTTCTTTTTTTCCGGCCGGTCAACCGCCGGTCTCCGGCGTTGAATTTGCGGGTTCAATGTGATACATTTTGTTAAAATCAGGGTCAATATGAACTTATTTTGAATACATAATTTCCAATCTAACTATTTTTAAATAAAGATTCCGAATTATCACCAAATTTATTGGTCAAATTACATTTTTTAGTTTTCACAAAGCAAGTAAAGGACCCCCTAAGTAAGTGACTGTTGTTTAACGTTGACTTGGATCTCTATTTACGCCTTGTTTGGTTGGTAATATCAACCATTATTAACTAAATAATTAATTTTTGTTTGATGTTTGGTATCTCCAATTACTTCACGTGTCGACCCGTAAATAGTATTTTATCATGCCTTATCTTGGTTTTTTAGACATGTTTTTTATTAGATCATAGAAGGTCCAATAATATAATTGAGTTTTATTAGATTGTTTATCTTGACTAATTTATCCTTGCAACCAAATGAGGTCTTAGTATTCCTATGACATGGGAATCCCTATATAGTACCTAAACCATATCGTCTTTATCTGTCGGGATCATGACAACGTGTCTGGGATCGGTCAGACTTACCACCGGGTCGTCACTAAGTTTCCACTGTGCCATGATGCCAGTTTGATATCATGTATACTTGGACGACCGCTAGAGATTTTCAATATTAAAATGTTATCGAATTGCTTCGTATTCTGATAGATTTCCAACATGGAGTACATTATATATCACTAGTAGAAAAATAGTTTTTGACTATAATTTTTTTTGCTATGGTAAAAAATACAACAAAAAGCTATCTTTTACTATGGAACAATCTTGAAGTCGTAGTAAGTGTTAGGATTTACTGTAGCAAAGTTTTTGTCACACCCGTATATGCGACTGGAAAAAATCATAACAAATGCGATGCAAAATTTGTTTTACAGGTACCTTTTACGACGGTTAATGGTTGTATTAAAAGGGTTTTTCTGCTAGCATATGCTGGTTCATTATTGATAATTTGATATAGGTTGGAGGCTTGGAAGGAAAATAAATATTGATGGGCTGGAACAATGTAAGAGGAGGCGAAATATTGACAAGAGTCATCACTTGCACAAACGAACGACGAGGACAAATGGGAGGTTGAACATTGACCCCAGATTTAAATAAATATATCATATTAACCACCATTTTCATAATTTGAATTTATATTTTTTTTGAGAAAATTTCTGAAATTATTTTTTCCAGCCAGATTCCGGGTTAACCTTTTTTATAAGAATTTTTTTTTCTGGCCGGTCTCCAACGTCGAATTTGCGGGTTTAATGTGATACATTTTGTTAAAATCTGGGTCAGTATGAATATTGCTATGAATATTGCGGGTCAATGTGTAATACTGCGGGTTTTTTATTTGGGGCAATTTGCTGAACACCTTTGAGCGCTAATTGTCATTCAATTCATGACATACCAACTTTTGCAATTTTCTGAAAATCTTCTGTTCTTCACACCCGCCTTCGTCGCGCTACCCTAATTTTTCCCCGTCAAATTCCGTTTAACCCACTACACTTCGTCAAATCTGCTCCACCCCCCCTCTCTGCCGCTATCATCATCGAAGCTTCGCCACATAATCACACACTTACCAACCACAAACACGCAGTGACATACGATTTTGGTTACACTCATTGATCTCCGTTGAATCATGGAAAGCAAAACGGGAAAATATGAATAATTGTTTGGTGATGGTCATGGTGATGTTAATGTTGGTGGTGATGTACGTACCAAATATTATTTTTTTTTCTTCAACTTATTTTAATTAAGTTGTGTAACTAAGCTATGCAAATAAGCTTTCTAAATTTCTAACTTCATAGTAAAATTACATACAAAACAAGTTTGTTTCCTAAATTTTTCTCGTTAATGTAACTAAACAAGGTAAATAAGTTTATAAGATGTATGTGTAAGTAGTATATGTGTTGTGGAATGCATCTATTCTTATTTTTGTTTTTTCTTCAGTTCATTTTAACTAAGTTGTGTTTATTAATATAACTAAATTGTTGCTTAGTAACTAAGCTGTGCAAATCACCACGTCCCCGTTACTGTTATTTTTTCTAAAAAATTCCATTAGCAAGACACCAGACCTAGCGTCAGATACAGAGCGAGAAAGCGTACAAAAACTTTTAGTAAAAAGGCAAAATTCGCCTCACCTTATATTATAGAGAATATTTTTAAGTAACCTTCAGCTAGTTTTTCCCCCTTTTTTTATAAATACAATTCTCTCAAATTCACGTATGCCGGTAATACATTACCTCCCAATTGACGAAGAGAACGAAATAATAAATCCTCCACTTTATTGCGTGTTTATTTTGATTATTTTTGTAAATAGTGATATTGTTATATTACTATATAGGTACAGTAATAATAATATAATAAGGGCATATTACAAATAAACCCATCAGTGGGAACTTATTCATAAAGAGATCCAGACAATATTCTCCTTTACCAATAAGTCCACACATGGTCCAGATTTATGTAAAGGACTAAAATAACCCCTCTTACTTTTATATGCTCCAATTTCATCCTTAACTTAATTTAACTTCAATTTGACCCCAAATTTCACAAATTATTCAATTTTGACCCAAAACTTTTTTTTTTCACAAATTTTTTTTTTTCAAAAACTTTTTTTTTCCGCCGGATTCCGGCGTTGACTTTTTTTTTTTTTTTTTTTCTTCCGGATTTTTTTTTTCCGGATTCCGGCGTTGACTTTAAATTTTTTTTTTTTTCCTTTTTTTTTTTTTCCTCCCGGATTTTTTTTTCCGGATTCCGGCGTTGACTTTTAATTTATTTTTTTTTATTTATTTATTTATTTATTTATTTATTTTTTTTTTTTTCTTCCGGATTTTTTTTCCGGATTCCGGCGTTGACCGGCGGTAAACACCGGTCTCCGGCGTTGACTTTTTTTAATTTATTTTATTTTATTTTTTTTTTAATTTTTTTTTTCTGTAACTTTTTTTTCCGTTTAAACAACAATATTGCTTTGAATGACAGTAATATTAACTATATTACTGTTAAACACAGTAAAAATAACGAAACTATAGTTTAACACAGTGATATTGCTATATTAATCTCTAGCACATTAATATTAACACAACAAAATTCATTATTATTGTATAATAAAGTAATATTACTATGTTGTCCGTTCAACAAATGTAAACAAAATAAAAAAAACCAAAAGAATTAATATTACTGTGAGTGACAGTAATATTACTATAGCAACAGTAATATTACAATAGTAGACAGTAATATTATTACGTTACTCCGTGAATAACTCAAACAAACAAAATATCCAAACAAAAGAATAATATTGATGTGGTTGACATGAATATTACTATAACAAACAGTAATATTACCGTCAACCACAGTAATATTATTGTGTTTACAGTAATATTACAATAATAGACAGTAATATTAATACAAACACCACAAAAAAATAATAATATTGATGTTGTTGACAGTAATATTATTGTGTTTACAGTTATTTTACTGTCAACGACAGTAATATAATTACGTTGACTTGTCAACAAATCAAAAAAAAATAAAAAAAAATAATAATAAATAAAAAAATATAATATTGCATTAATTTACTGTCAACGGCAACACAATTACATAAATGTAATGTCAACGGCAGTACAATTACGTTAATTAACTATCATTGACAGTATAATTACGTTAATTTACTGTCAGTGACAGCACAATTACGGTCAACGTTTAGCGGCGGACGTGGAAAAACAAAACAAACCAAACAAAACAAAACAAAAAACTTAAAAAAACACTAAAAAAAGAGACCGCCGGAAACCGGCGAAAAAATCCTGAAGAAAAGAAAAGAAAAAAAAAAAAGAAAAAAGCAAAAAAAAAAAAAAAAAAAAAAAGTCAACGCCGGAGACCGGCGTTGACCGCCGGTCAACGCTGGAAACCGGCGAAAAAATCCGGAAGAAAAAAAAAAAAAAAAAAAATTAAAAAAGTCAACGCCGGAGACCGGCGTTGACCGCCGGTCAACGCCGGAATCCGGCGGCAAAAAAAAAGTTTTTGAAAAAAAAAATATTTTTTGAAAAAAAAAAATTTTTGGGTCAAAATTTAATAATTTGTGAAATTTGGGGTCAAATTGAGATTAAATTAAGTTAATGATGAAATTGGAGCATATTAAATTATACTCCAAAAAAAAGTCAAAATTGAATTTTTGTGGTCAAAATTGAACTTTTATGGATAAAATTGATTAATTTGGATTACAATTAAGAATTGGGTATAAATGGTTGAGGGTAATTTTGGGATATACATGAATGTTTCCTTTAGTTATAATAAATATTAAAGGGATGGGCTTATTGGTAAAAGAGATATGTCCCCTAAACCTAGAATAATAAACATGCTTGGTTGGGGACTTTTGCATAAAAATCCCATATAATAAAATTACTATGTTACATAATTATAATAAAATATGTGTAATACAATAATATATTATACATGTTGACCAGTAAACATAGGAAAACAAAATAAAAGGCCAAAACAATTAAATTGATGTAATTGATTGTAGTATTACTGTCGCACGATATTAATATTAATATGAACCACAAAAATATTAGTGATTTTGACAGTAATATGACGGTCAACAACAATAATATTATTATATTTGCCGGTCAACAAATCGAACTAAATAAAAAGAATGAAAAAATTAATATTGATATGATTGACAATAATATTATCGTGTTTAAATAATATTACTGTCAACTAGAGTAATATATTACTGTCATAAGTTAGCGGCGGGCGGCAAAAAAAAAGTAGGAAAAAGTTTGAAAAATAAAATAAAAAAATTATATGTCTCCGAAGCCTGGTCAACGGCGGCGAAGAAAAAAATAGACAAAAAAAAAAAAGTCAACATCAGAGACTCACAACAGAAAAAAAAAAGTTTGAAATCACAATTTAGTGATACAATTAGAAACTAGGTTGTGGGTAATTTTATTATAAAAGAAAACACTAAGTTTGTATTTGTTTATAATACATATGCATGTTAAACGATTGAGCTTATTTGTTTCTACTACAAACTATCCAACTGATCTCTCGTATTTCATGGATTAGTCAATACATTATCCATATACATGGTTCTTTCGACCCTACACCCGATGATAAATACTTAATGGGTTAATTCTGCCGACACATATTATATTTAATTATTTATTATATATTCTTCTACTAGAATTAACTTATAGGAGTTTTAGAAAAATACAAAAAAAATACACTATCAACCAGAAATCCATCCAATGTTTATCACTAAATGTAGGGTCGAGAGAGGCCCACATACCTAACATTCTGCATATTTTGTGATGTCTCCACTAAGGCTGAAGAAAGATAAAATGTTGAGCATTTATGATAAATAACTTCATATAGACATAGGCGGTTTAGTGAAATATATATATGGAGGACTAAGCTTTCGATAAAAGTAATAAAAATATAAAAATAAAATAAAAAAAATAAGTAAAGAAATGTAGATTGATTATTTTGACATAAATATAAATATTTAAATAGATACTTATCAGAAAAACAATACAAATACAATCATTGAAGTTGTTCTCTACGATCCTTCAGCGAGCATAAAACTCATATAAATTAAAACGTATAGAAATATAAAATGTCTATTTGACACGCCTGCAAAGTGTGAGCCCATCTCCGATAGAAAGCTGAGCTAGTTCAATACGAGAATCGGCCGCTAAGAAAGTGTTCAATTGCATAATGTCGGTTCTAACCCTCCTCAGATATTCCGCCATCTCATCGTCATCGGATGCGGCTACAGCTCCGGACCACAATGTGTTGTCGTACGCGATTATTCCCCCAACCCTAACCAGTTTCAATAGCTGTTCGTGGTAGTGGATATAGTTTTGCTTGTCCGCATCCACAAATGCAAAATCGAATGTTCCTTCTTCACCCTAAAAAGTAAAAAATTAAAAAAAAATAATACGGCAATTAAATAACTAATCCTCGTAAATGTACTTAATAAAAATAATTAGGTAGGGGGAGAAAATAATTACATTGGCCTTGAGTTGTTCCATAACTTTGAAGGCATCAGATTGAATGAATTGAATCTTATGTGCCATGTTTGCCTTTTGAATAAATGGCAATCCAGTCTCGTATGCTTCTCTGTCCGGGTCAATTGCGATTATCTACACAAAACAAACAAAAAATTAGTTACAATTTTTATTTGATTATTATTTTTTGGGTTAATTATGGCAACCTCTGAGGTAATGTTAAATTACGAGAAAAACCCGCTCATATATTGGGTAATTACAATCACATTCTCAACTATGTATTTTCTTACGGATAAACCCCTTCTTAAGTAGGTAAGTAAGACAATACATAGTTGAAGGATGGTTGTAATTACTCAACCATAAGGGATATTTTTGTAATTTGATCTTACCTTACAGGGTGGTCCCGTAATTATCCTAATTAAAAAAATTATAATAATTTACTTACCTTGCCATCATTAGGAAGGGCAAGAGCAGTAGTGAGGAGAGAGTAGCCAGTGAAAACTCCAACTTCAATTGTTTTCTTTGCATTCATCGTTTTCAAAAACAATGATATGAATTGGCCCTCGTCAGCAGTTACATTCATCATACTCCTGTAATTATAATAATAATAATAACAAATTAAATATAATAATTAATAATAAGAAATAAATAAATAAAAATAGAAGACTCGAAATATTTCGAAAAAACATATATAATCGTACCACCACTGATACTTGTCGACGGTAGCCATTCGTAGTTCTTTGAGTTGCTCATGCTCTCTCGGGTAAGCACTTGTTTCCAGAATATACTGCAATCCGAATAATATTAATACTATTAAAACAAAATAAAAATATAGACTAGTGCATCACTTTGCAGAATAGTCCCTGTAAACTTATCCTTCATTTTCGAGAAAATTGAGGGGGGAAAAGTAAAGAAACAATTTAGTTTGATGAACTAAGTGAAGATGAAATGTTTTGGTTGAAACTTAGGAAAGTGTAAGCTCCAATTTATAAGGCTAGTTCTTTTTGGAGAGTCAACGCGTTTAACGCCTCAATTGACCCAATCAATCAATTTGATCCCATCCCCCTCTCAATAATATGCATTCATTATTATTTTATTAAAAAAAAATAAAGGATAAAATTCATTCCTACAATTTTTTCATTTTCGTACTTTTCCCCTCTGAAAAATACAAAACTGGATAATCCCGCTTCAAAATATTGTTTTGGTTGTACTTTGTGCCATAAACCAATTCTTGGTTGGTATTGTGCAACAACAATAATATTTGAAAGGAGCAATGTGTATAAAGATAATATTTTTAAGTGATAACGTGCAACAAAAATAACATATAAAGGGGCAGTGTGCAACAAAAATATTCAAATGCCAATGAATAATCCATCGAAATTTTTCTATCTGGGCAATGTACAATAAGAATAATATTTTGAAGGGGGACATCCACTTTTTAAATTTTTTAGGAGGTAAAGTACGAAAATTAAAAAAAATTAGGGGATGATGTGCAATTTCCCTTAAAAAAATTACTAATATGTTAGTATATTTTTTTGTTTTCCAGAGTTTGGTATAATTCGTTGGTTAGTCGTGCTAATTGTCCATCAATCAATTGGAATTTATTAATTTAATTTAATTTGTTTGTTAGTGAGAGCAACTCCAACGATGAAATCAAATAGGATATTAAATGGTAAGAGCAACTCCAATGCTAAACATCAAAATTGGATTATCAAATACTCATTTGATAATTAAGAGCAACTCCAATGGAGGAACTAAATGGGGTATCAAACTAAAAAACTACCAATTTGATGCTCCAAAATTAAAAAATCCTCCTCCAATGGAGGCATTAAATGGGGAACTATTTTGATATTCAACCACCCCGAGGTGCAAAAATACTCCCTGGAAAATGAGGTATCAAAAATGTAACCACTCTATTAACCTATCACAATTTGCCACGTGGCATTTACTAATATAATTATTCATATATTTAAAATTTGATAATTTATTTGATACTTGTGGTTGGAGTGAATTTTTTTTCTAGAAGTATCAAAGTATTATATCAAGTATCAAATGAATGTTTAATGCTCCATTTTGATGTCTCTCCATTGGAGTTGCTCTAAGACAATATTTGAATATCCATTTACAACTTATTTACTCCAACCATGGTTATCTAAATCAATAATCAATTGGAAGTTTTTTAGTGGTTTTATTTGTAATTGTCACGTGTCATTTTTTGATTGGATGTTTAGGTAGTTATTTTTTTGATAACTCAATTTCCGGAATGTATTTTTACATTCAAAGAGGTAGAATATCAAAATACTTACTCATTTTGATACTCCCATTGGAGTGGAAAATTTTGATTTTGGAATATCAAAAAGGTGGTTTATGGATTTGATAATCCATTTGATACTCCCATTGGAGTTGCTCTAAAACTTATATTTTGATGTTCCAAAACTAAAATTTTCATTTGTAATGGAGGAAACACATTGATAGTTATTTTATATTCAGCTTTCGGAGATGTGAAAATGCATCCTACAGTGAAAAAATGTATCAATAAGTTAACTAGTTAAATATCTTATCATAAATTGCCATCTGTTGCCTGTTGATTTTAAATATATTTATTCTTATATTTAAATTTTGATAATCTATTTACTAATTGTAGTTGGCGTAAATGGGTATCAAAATAATAAAACTAGATTCAAATTAATATTTGATGATTCATTTTAGTGTTTTCGTTGGACTAGTGATTTCAATTTTTTCCAATTATGATATCTTTTGTGTGTCACGTGCGGTGCACATACTATTTTCCATTCATACTAACTGGACAAATGGACGGAGGGACAAAAACATCATAAAAATGGCATGTTTAGGGACGTAAATTGTAACTTATGTTGTATAGGGACAAAAATTGTATAAATGGCAAAATATAGTGACGAAATAATTATCCAAAATTGTTGTCACTGACTTACTATAATTAAATATCACTATAAATTTTATTCGAATATTGTAATATTTTTTTATTATATTTGTTATTGTCATGTATTATATGTATTATTTTTGAAATGCTATCACGTGCATCACACAGAAAAAATACTAGCTATAAATAAAATATTTGTACTCTTTGCAATCGAGAAGAAAAAATATGGTTCAATCATATTTTAGAAGGTTATTCATACATACCCGCAAGGGGTGACCTAGCAGTTGGAGCAAGTTAGTCTGTGTTAATTGATCAATTTTAAATCTCATAATCAACGGTTGCCAGGTATAATTTGTCACACATGGTTAGCCTAGTATTATTTACCTATGTCGTACAGTTTACAAACTATTATACAAAAGACAATAAATTTATCCAATACATCTATATAATTAACTGCAGATTTCTTCATTATTAAAAAAAAATTGCTCCAACTTTTTCACAATTGATAACTATACAAATGACAGGTAAATACAGAATTTGGAGATATACCAAACTACTTAGTGAGATGTCAAATGATTATGAAAATAAAAAAGGCAAGAACTCGTCGGAATAATGCGAATTATTCAAAAAAAAAAAATTTGTTCAAAGTTTGGGGCTTGAAAAGTAGGTGCAAAGGTCAACATGTTTTTATTGGGGGAAGAAGTCAAAGTCTGTCTTGTTCCCATTCTCTCTTTGTGTTGACAAGTTCAAACTTTTATTGGAAATTAATCAAATTATTATAATAGAGTTGGTCTAACAGTAGTACTATTTTTTAGAGTAAATTAAACCACCCGAGGTATGGTTAAATAACAAAATTTTCTATTGTTTGGGTAATTACAATCACTCCTTCAACTATAAATTTTCTTACACGTCCGCTCTTGCGGTTTCAAATTTAGTGGAATCTTCTAGATTATATGGAATATTATTACTTTTGTACCCGTTTTATCCCATTCGAACTCCACATTTTAAAGCAAGGTGATCATAATATGTGTTTTTTACCTTGTATATATCAGATTGTAGTGCATCAGAAACTGTATTTTTAGACAAAACGAGTACAAACTAGAGCACATTCCACAAAATCTAGATGATTATGTTGAATTTGACACCATGGGGGTGGAGATGTAAGAAAAAATCATAGTTGAGGGGTAGATGTAATTATCCACATAATAGGGGTTTTTTCGTAAATTGACCATACCTCAGGGGGGTGTTTGTAATTTACCCATTTTTTAATGAAGGAATCTGCAGCCAACCATATAGCTGTAACGGGTAAACCTATGTTTTCGTATAATAGCTAGTAAATCGTATAAGAGATGTAGATCACACTAGGGTGACCATGTGTGAGCATGTGTCAATTGATCCACATTTGAATTCCCTTGTCAACGGTCGCTTGATCGAGATTGATACACGTGGTTTGTCTAGTCTAGTATAGCTTACACTTTACATCTATCGTATGGTTTGCAAGATATTATACGAGAGTGTATATTTCCAACCTATACGATTGGCTGCAGATTCATTCTTTACAAAAAAAAAAGGGTAAACTTCATTTTGCCTACCTGAACTATACCCAACGTATAAAATACCCCCCTAAACTTCGAAATGAATCAAAACAGCCCCTCCGTTTAGAATCTGTTTGGTCGTGCTGACGTGGCACTTTGACTTTTGCATATAAAATTATGTTTATAATTTCTGCATTTGCTTTGACATTTTTACCCCTTAGTTTAATATATATATATATATATATATATAAATTCCGATGGAATATACAATATTTCTACTGGAACACGTAAGCTTCGCCGGAATCCGCGAGCTCCGTCGCCAAAGTACAATTCTCCACCGGAAATGTGAAAATGAAATTGGGGGTTCGGGAAAACTGGGTTTCTAAACGATTAAACTATTTTTTGCAATAATCCTAATAGATGAGTACTTTCCTACCCACACACACACACGCACACACACACACAAACAAAAAAAAAAAAACAAAAAAAAAAGCTCTGGAACTTGTAGTTAAATATAGCAATTGAATTCAACCCAGTATTAAATATAGCAATTGAATTCAACCCAGTAGCCCAATATTCAAGAAAATGGTCAGAATCTAATTTGACCCCATCCAATTTGAGCACACCCAAATTCCACCCAGTTGAAAATAAATCCAATTTGATCTTATTATAAGATTGAAGCTCGTTTCTTGACAGAGACGAGGTTGTGGAGGTCGTGGAGGCTGATCTTTTATTTTGCTGTGAGAATCTTTTTTCTTTTTTTTTTTCTTAAATGAAGTTTGGGAAGAAACCTTTGTGAGAAGAAGGAAGAAAAGTAGAAATGGGGAAAAAGAAAGGCCGGAGGAAGAAGAAAGGAGGAAGAAGATTTTAGGGCAAAAATGTAAAAACCCTTTAAAACTAACGGATTTATTAAAAAACTGACGGTGTTAACATTTTTAACGTTGACCATAAAAAATGTGGGCTGTTTTGATGCATTTTGAAGTTCAGGGGGGTATTTTATACGTTGGGTATAGTTCAGGTAAGTAAAATGAAGTTTACCCAAAAAAAAAAAACAAAAAAAATAAATAAATAATAATAATAATAATAATAAGAGACTGATTTTCACCTAACCAGTACTTATAGTATTATCTTCACCTGCCCGAAATCTTTTTTTTTTCTCTCTTAGAAAGCTTCTAATTTTTTGATAATTAATTAATTAATTACTGATTATGATTTTTTTGACTTTTCATTTATTAATTAAAATATATTTTACGAGGAAGAAAATTGAGGATTTAAAAAAAAAAAAAACTTGCACCCACATATATGCATTAATATTAATTTTGTGCAATAGTTTGCACCTTATCACAAATTACTGAAATTAGGATTTAATAATGTTTGTCTGCAATCTATCGGACAATGGCCAACTTCGTTCCTCACCGAATCTAATGGTGATATCTAAACTTATTTTGAATAAATAATTTCCGATCGAACTACTTTTAAATAAAGATTCCGAATTATCACCAAATTATTGGTCAAATAACAATTTTTTAGATTTCACATAGTCGATAAATATCATTATTACACGATATGGACCTCGCTAAGTAAGTGACTGTTTAACGTTGACGCCTCCTTGGATCACCTACTTAGTTGGGTCTTTCTAGCGTCCGATCGCTCAAATCCTATCTGAGGTACGATAGGGTCTCATTGGCCGCCACGTGTCGAAAAGTAAATGTTTATTTAAATTATAATTGTGTATTGTCATAAATGCCCTTATGCTACAGAAATTAAATTTAAACATTAAAATTAATAAATTAAATGGAAATGACTTTATTATCCTTGTATGACTTCATCTCTTCAACAATTCTCTCCGGCTCGTGTCGTTTCATTTTCTAATCTTGAAGAGAACTTTGACGGCTGGTAATCCTACATATTTCCGGGGACAAAACCCCACAAATTTCTGGCGAAAAAACCCTACATATTTCCGGCCAAAAAACCGCTGCACTAGGGATATCGAATTTTGATGAATCAGGTATCTCATTAATTAAATATGTTGTGTGTTATTTGAAAAATTAGGGGTTTGATTAAGTTTACTCGCATTATTCGATTTAGATTACAACGGCGTCGACGAATTAGAGCACAAGAGCGGGGATGAATTAGAGCACAACAACGACGAGAAAGATTCAGCCTCGTTGACTTGGGCAGAAGAAGGTGTTTCGACTTCTAACCGAGAAGGGAACAAATGGCGACACAGACGATGAAAGTCTGCAACTCGTTCAACGATTTACAACACTAACATTTGCTGATGCACACGAAGCAGGTGCGCATTATCAATGTTTCGCGCACCTGTCTGGATTTGACATTCGCAAGAACTCTGTGACAAAGGGTAGGCAACATCATTTTGAATAGGGTATTTGCTCTCAAGAGGGCCACCGTAAGGAGAGAATTGATGAATGCGATCGATTGCATGGTCATAAACCAGAGACGCGGTGTGGATGCCCTGCTCTATTTCGTGTTGCTCTCAATCGTTCTACTGGGAGATACAGAGTGACTGACTTTGAGCCTAAGCACAATCACAATATGGAAACCCCCAATACCAGCCATATTCTTCGCTGCAATAGGTAATTCTATCTTAGGTTGGTTGATTGGAAATATTCGTTTGCTTGAAATTTACACATCAAATTCATCTAAATGTACCCCTGCCTGTTTGTTGGAAAATTGGGTACAGAATATTGACTCAAGCCACAAAGATAATGTTGGATACGATGACCCATGTTGGGTGCAAACCTAGTCAAGTTCTGAACCTTCTGGAACATCTCGGTAGAGGCAGTGCAACTGGCGTTTTGAATAGGAAGGACGCCTACAACTACCTGAACAGTGAAAGGTTGAAACGGATTGCATCAGGGGATGTGAATACTCTATTGGGTTTACTTGACGAATACAAACACGGTATCGATCAAGGTGGATCTCTAACAAGAATATTTTGGCATGACGGTATATCAAAAGCCGAGTATGAGGAGTTTGGTGATGTCTTAGTATTTGACAGCACCTACAAGACCAACATATATTATTTTCCAGTAGTACTGTTCCCCCGAGTCAACTCCCATCTGTGCACAACGACAGTGCTTCGATTTCTCGCCCATGCTGTGCCAAACCCACAATAGTAAATGTCCAAGAAACAACATCTCTTCTCCTCAAACTCCCGAAAATCTTCTCTGCAGATAATACGTCACTACATTTATCATACATATCAATCAATGCATTGCTAATATAAGAGCTGGACTCATACCCAAGAACTATGACTAATTTAAGAACTTGCTTGCCCAGCTCTAACATAGCTAAACTGGACGAACCAACAATCAAACTCGAAAGAACAAACGGTTCCTCAATATCAATATCTTCCCTCCTCAATTCGTTGAAAAGCTTAAAGGAATCTGTGCAATGCCCACCTTGCACAAAGCATGATATCGGAGTTGTCCAAGAGTGAACATTTTTTAAAGGCATGTCGTCTAAATGCTCGAGGGCTTTGTTTTTCCTTTCAATCCTTGCATACCCGTAAACCAAGCTAGTCCAAGAAACCACATTCTTCGACACAATTGAGTGGAATACTTTTCTAGCTTGATCAGGCAATCCACATTTCGCGTAAAAATCAACTAAGGATGACTTAACAACGTCTTCATCAGAAAAACGCGATAGGACAAACTGGGCATGCAGTTGTAGACCAAGTTTCGAAGCAGACAAACAAGTGCAAGCCTTAACGAGACAAGCGAAGATGAAGTGGTCCGGTTGGAGACTCTCCCTAGACCGCATATGAGAGAATAAGAAGTGGGTTTGCCAGGGGAGGTTGGCTTGATTGTGCGCGGTGAAAATTGATGCCCAAGAGGCTAAGTCTCGGCCCGACATTTCGTCGAACAGTTTGACGGCATCTTTCATATGGCTACATTTTCCATACATGTATATGAGTGTGTTGGGGTATAGGGGCAGATGTTGGTTGTTAAGTGTATATTTATACACTTAATTATACCTTTTAATTGGAGCTTTTGATGTGTTTTTACGATAATTGGTGCTTAATATGGTTATTATTTGTATTTTAGGTGCAAATTGAAGAATTGGCAACTTTTGGGGTGAACACTGCAAATTCAGAGAAAAAGTGGGCCAAAAGTGAAAAAATCAGATTTCTGAAGAATTAAAGACCGCACGGCCGTGCGGATTTTAGGCATAAATCTCACACGGCCGTCCGGATGGTCGTGATGGCGCAGTGAAGGAATTTTAATTACACAAGGAAACCCGCCCTATTATAGTTTTGCACCCTATTTAAAGGCCACAAACACACAATTAGGAGGATCTTTTACCTTTTATCTTTATTATTAGTTTTTAGTTTTTCATCTTTCTACACGCGATCAAGGAGCACAAGAACGAAGACGAAGACTTGACGAATCTTCACCCTAGTTCTCCTCTTTGATTTGTAATTATAGCTTTTATGATTTTTCGTATTTTTATTATGTTTTTCGTAGCGAACATGAGTAGCTAAGTTTTTATTCTAGGATTTTGTTGGAACCATATGTGGTAATTCAAACCTATTTTTCTACTTTTATGCAAGTTTAATTCTTCGATTATTTCTTCTATCTTGATCGTATTTAGTGCATGAGTGTAGCTAACTTATGTTGCTATTTGTTATTGTTAGAATTGATTGACAGATCGTTTTAATAATTTGAACAGGGATAGAAGAGCCTTCGAGTAGTTTTTCACCGAATGCGTGTGTTGATTGCATGTATTATCGTAGACATACAAATAATACCTTAGGTAGCCGTTTACGAGACTTGTTATTTAATGCTTTATTTATACTAGGTTTGCATAGACATATAGTGAATCTTTTATGAATAATAGGTTTATAGCGCAGCGACAGCTGGTTATGAATAATTTCGTGTCTTGGGTTAATAATCGGGAATCGTAACTTGCATGATAGGAGATTAATCGGGTGAAGAATTATCGCATAGGGGGAAGATAAAATCCTAGATCCATTTATTATTGATATTTTCTCGTGATTACTTGCTTTCTTAATTAGTTTAATTTATTTAGTTAATTAATTTGACAACCCTGCGTAGGCTGGATAAAAATCACAATTGTTAGGATTTGGTACTTAGGATTAAATAATTTGCGTATTCCCTGTGGGATCGACATCCGACTCTCACGAGTCTACTTTACTACTTGTTTGCGATACGTACACTTGCGTGTTGGTATTTAGCACCCAACATTGGTCTAAGCCAGTCTTGATGACATAGGCGTGAAGACACTTGCCTTCGATTGAGAGACACAACTTGCTGCATGGCTTTATTCGCTGCAAAATTTGAAAATGATGCATTCAGTCATGGTGAAATTTGGTCGATGATTTAGGGCCAAGGGACAGGGTCAGGGTATGGAAATTCTCTCACCAACTTATTGTACTTGTCATATAATTTAGGGGTCACAAAACTAAGGGAGGTGATATTCGCATTGATTTTAGCAGACTGAGACAACGACAGTGCTTCGTTTGCTCGCCCATGCTGTGCCAAACCCACTATAATAGAAGTCCAAGAAACAACATCTCTTATCCTCACACTACCGAATTCTTCTCTGCAGATAATATGTCACTACATTTAGCATACATACAAATCAGTGCATTGCTAATATACGAGCTGGACTCGTACCCAAGAACTATGACTAATCTATGAACTTGCTTGCCCAGCTCTAACATAGCTAAACTGGATGAACAAACAATCAAAATCAAAAGAACAAACGGTTCCTCAATATCAACTCCTTCACTCCCGAATTCGTTGAAAAGCTTAAAGGAATTCCTCGGAACATTTGGAGGCACCAGAGCATGAATCGAAGGAGCATTCTTAACCTTGGGCTCGAAGACCTCCATAAAAACTGAAGAATCCTCAGGAGGTAAGATCATTATAGTGGCCAACCAATTCCTTTGAGTGCGCCATCATGGGACCACAGAGCTATTCAAACATCGCGTCTATGTACGAGTCTCATAATTCTAATTACATATAACAGTTTAGATCAACGATCATTAAAGACAAATAATTGCTTCCATTTCGTGGCCAAGCAAGTTCCATAATTGAAAGAAGATAAAATATTGGGTGTTGATCTCAAGAACATGTGTAATGTTCTGGACTTTTTAGCTTGGTCCGTTGGTCAATCCACCGGCCCTCTGGGGCAACACTGCGCTTACCGCAAGCCCAACTTTGCCAACTCAAAAGTCAGTGAAATGTATTGGCGCCCAATAGTAGTGGGAGGCATGCTTATAAGTCGACACAAAATCCTACAATTTTTTATTTTTTTTAATGTGAGATGGGGTTGTTATATCATGGGATTGCCTAATGCAGTATTTTCTCCCATGTTTTCTCATAGTGAGCTGAGATAGAGGTGATGAGCCTTCTGCCCTAGGATTAAATTTGGTTAAACAAGTGAAAACCATAGTTCGACAAACCCATGCAATGTTTAATAAACTCATTGAAACATAATCTATTTGATGTAAGTTTAACAATTCTACCAAATGCACTGATGACGGGAGGTAGGTTTCACATTATGAAATTCGTTATTTCCAAGAGAGTAGTATTGTGACACACTTCCAAAGTCCCAGATGAAATATATATAATTGTTCCATTCATGGTAACAGATTTCAAGTGTTAATTAAATGCTCTTACTGGTCATTGCAGGCTACTCGTGTTTCAGTTGCAACAAGAACCGTATTGTCGCTTTTCTTGCACAGTTTCCAGCATAAGTCAGCATGCGTGAGAGACTAATATTACATAAATATAGTTGCAAATGAAAAAAATAAGCAGCTTATATTTAAATAAAACGTACCATATCACATATACGACACTCTCTCGTCATTGAGAAGTCGCATTAATTATTACCAAAAGTGACGAAGAGCACGCACCGTCCTTAAAACGATGGAATCTATTCACATCTCTAACAACAATTTCTCTACCGACAATGCCGCACACCAACTTTGGAACAGTGTGACAATTGCTGCATACACGCAGATTCTTGATGATACGTATAGGCGCGCTGCGAGCAGACTTAAGCAGCCCATAAGCAACAGCCAATCCCTCACTATGCCAAAACAGCTGCCTCTCCTTCTCTTCCTCTCCCATATCGTGCAAAACCAAAGAAGTGTCCAGTTTATAACCTCTCTTCCTGATTTCTGAATCCAACTCCTTTAATAAATCCACAATCTCATTTTTCATAGGATGCAGCATCGTCTCGCCCGCATAAAAAACTTCGTTCTCCTTTCCCAAATCAACGCAGCTATATCCAGGCTTCTTCTTCAACTCCATAGCAGTCATCAATCTTCTCACAGTAGACACACTCTCCCACATAGTGGCACTTGCATAAATTTTAGACATCAATACACATGTCGAGGGGTCTTCTACTCCTAACTGGAGCAAGTGGTTCGCAATTCGAACTCCTGTCTCGGTTTTCCCAGCTTGACTACTACATGCGCTCAGTAAAGCCGCCCATGCAGCTTCGACGGGTTTGAACGGCATTGTATTTAACACATTCTCAGCCTCTTCAATATGCCCTGCTCGACTGTAAAGATCCATTAAGCATGTGTAATGCTGGAGAGACGGGCTTAACCCGTAATCCGCAATCATGGACTCGAAAATCTGCCTGCCTTTGTCGACCAATCCGACATGACTGCACGTATATATTAGCCCAGTAAATGTCACTTTGTTTGGTGTCGAACCATCTTTAGTCATGTCATCATACAACGAGAGTGCTTCATTTGCTCGCCCATGTTGTGCCAAACCCACAATAATAGATGTCCAAGAAACAACATCTCTTATTCTCAAACTACTGAAAATCTTCTCTGTAGATAATACGTCACTACATTTAGCATACATATCAATCAATGCATTGCGAATATACAAGCTGGACTCGTACCCAAGAACAATGACTAATTATGAACTTGCTTGCCCAACTCTAACATAGCTAAACTGGACGAACTGGACGAACCAACAATCAAACTCGAAATAACAAACAATTCCTCAATATCAACTCATTCACTCCTCAATTCGTTGAAAAGCTTAAAGGAATATGTGCAATGCCCACTTTGCACAAAGCCTGATATCAGAGCTGTCCAGGAGTGAACATTTTTTAAAGGCATGACGTGTAAAAGCTCGAGGGCTTCATTTTTCCTTCCAATCCTTGCATACCCGTACCAAGGTAGTCCAAGAAACCACATTCTTCGACACAATTGAGTGGAATACTTTACTAGCTTGATCGAGCAATCCACATTTCTCTTAATAATCAACTAGGGTTGACTTAACAACGTCGTCATCAGAAAAACGCGATAGGACAAACTGGGCATGCAGTTGTAGACCAAGTTTCGAAGCGGACAAACAAGCGCAAGCCTTAACGAGACTCGCGAACTCAATAATATTAATAAGTTCTTGTCAACAATATAGGTTAATCGATTTAAATTAATTGAAATGAGTTATAATCTATTTTTTTAAATAAACATATTATTTTATTTTTCATTCGATTTTTTCACGCTATCGATTTTAATAACATAAGTGAATTTGTAATAATTCAACGCATTTGTTTATATATTGAATTGATTCAATACTGTATATTTTTCATAGTGGAAATTATATTGATATAGTAATTAATATAGATGTTTTGAAGCATTGAGCCGTGATTTTATATATTTTTTTTAATTTTCTTATATTGCATTTGTTAATTATTTAATTAAAATTACTTAATAATAATTAATATCAGAAATTTTTCATAATTTCAAAATAAAAAAAATCAAAATTCAATCTTTCTTTTAAATTAAATCGTAATTATTTAAAATTTTCAAAATTAAATATATATGCATTTGTCATTAGGGGATATTTTTAATATTAATGATAATAAACATGAAAATTAATAATTTAGTATACATCTGTTATACAATT